ATTGGAAGACGTTTTCAAGCTACTGGACTGGAAAGGATACATCAATGGCGAGTACATCACTCACCTTCGATTTGCAGACGATATAGTCCTTATGGCAGAATCGCTGGAGGACTTAAGCACTATGCTCAATGACCTCAATAGTGCCTCCCAACGGATAGATCTTAAGATGAACATGGACAAAACAAAGATCATGTTTAAAGTCCATGTCACTCCTATGCCGGTAGTTGTTGCGAGCATTAAGCTCGAAGTTGTTGATGAGTACGTTTACCTGGGACAAATAGTCCGGCTAAGTAAGTCCAACTTCGACCGAGAGGTCAATCGACGGATTCAACTCGGCTGGGCAGCGTTCAGGAAATTACAACGCATCTTCTCGTCAGGTATACCTCAAAACCTGAAAACTAAGTTGTACAACCAGTGCGTGTTGCCATTGATGATATATGGAACTGAGACGTGGTCCTTCACTGCTGGCCGTATGAGGACGCTCAAAGTCGCTCAGCGAGCTATGGAGAGGGCCTCGGCGTTTTGGCCTTTGTGGACTATGAGATAGCCTTTGACTCCATCGAAACTTGGGCTGTTATACTATATATCTGAATTCCTTGCAGAGTTGCCGGATTGTCTGTCGATACATAGACGTCTGGAGAAATTAAAACACTGCACCCTCGATGTTCGTCCATGTACAGGGTAGTCTTACAAAACCAATTCATTTGCATCGTGGAGTGAGACAGGGGGGCACAATATCCCCGAAACTGTTCATAAATGCTCTGGATGATTTTTTAAGACGCTAAACTGGAATAGACGCGGCATGAATATAAACGGCGAATACATCTCATACTGACGTTATGCCCATGATATCGTCGTCATCGTGGAATCGCTGTGGAAACTACAAGATTTGCTGAGCAGCCTAAATAAATCCTCTCAACGTATCAGACTGCGTATTTATTTAAATAAGACGCAATTCATGTTTAAAAGTCGTGTCATTGAAGTTGTTCAAGAGTGTATCTACGTCGACCAGATAGTGCCGTTAGATAGAAACAACTTCGAGAAAGAAGCCGATAGGCGGATTTAGTTGGGCTGAGTAGCATTCGGGAAGCTTCGTCGGGTCTTCTCGTAACACATACCCAAAAACTAAAAGACGAAAGTCTACGACCAGTGTGTCCTGCCTGTACTCACATATGGTACCGAAACGTGAACACTAACGGTACTACTACTCCATTAACTCAAAGTCACCCTGAGGGCGATGGAAAGAGATGTGCTCGGAGTTTTCTGGTGGATTTATTATTTTCTTAAGGAAGAAATCTGCCTAAGATCCAAAGTCACCGACGTAGCCTTCCGTATTTACAAGCTGAAGTGGCAATGGGCTGGTCTTTTCTGTCGCAGAAGCGATAATCATTGTAGTAAGCGTACAAAAAGTCGAGACAGCGTTTAGGTAAACGTAGTGTTGGATGCCCCCTGGCAATATTGAGCGACGATCTGCGCAAGGCGGCTGGCAGCAACTGGTTGCGTGAAGCAGAAGTTAGGGCTAAGTGGCGCGCTATGGTAGATGCCTTTGTCCAGCCGCAGGCTGATGATGATGAATATTAGACAACAATAACTACCTATCATTTAGCATAATGTTTTTTTTTAAACCCATACTTTAAATTTTAACACTAGAGGAGTTTCATAATTAGATAACGAAAGTGGAAGAGCTGTTGCTTGAGTTAAAACTTAAGCTTGACAACGTGAAGCATGCATCTAAAATCGAAGGCTTTCTAGTTCATAGTTATGTTCTTAAACAACAAGGTGCTTGCTTACAAGATAATGATAACTTTGACTTGAACAGTGGCCAATGGGACTCCAATATGTGCCTAAAAAATCTGCACAGTTGTTTAAATAAATAATAACGTCAGTCAGCTGTTTAAATAAATAATAACGGTCATTCAACGCCAACATGGATGCCGGAGACGCATGATCACAGCGAGGCTGAGGCTGTCCCTTTCCAAAGCGGTAAACAAGATGTGACAAAACACCAAAAACTCGTTGAGGCCCCTACTGCGGTTTCGAACGACGTGAATGAGAGGTGTAGGAAAGAACATTCGGGCAGCAATAATAAGCGCAGGGGGAGCAAGACGGAGCGTTGCTTTTTTATTACCATTTTTTCTGGAACTTCTTACAAGAAAAAAATTCAACTCCGATGTGGCAGTCCAAACTGCCTTAAAAGAGTTTATTGATTCTCGCCTCCATGGTTTTTTTATTAAAGTGATCAACTACATATGAGATGATTCATTAAATATATTTTACAAAAAAAAAATGACTTTATATTCCTCCTGTACAAAACGCCAATTTCATATATAAGTACCTAGTATATACAACATGTAGCAAAAGCCCTGTGGTTCCCCATAATTGCGTTTTTCAAAAAACTTAACAGCCAATCAAAAATACAAATTTTAAGCAAATAGAGCTATTAAAAGATTGGCTTGAGTACATGGAGAGAAGCCTATGCGCTCTTCTAATATCGTATTGTGTAACGTTCCCAAATTACCTCACGAAAACAAGTTATAATAACCCTAGTACAGGAGGCTGCCAAGGCCATAAGCGTGCTAATTACTTTATTGAACTTACGCAACATCTACCGTATTAATTCAAAAAACGAAAACAACTTTTTATGCAGATGTTAAAAGTTATGCTTACATTTACAATGTGTACCAAAGTAAATCGATTACACTAGGCATAAAAGCGATGTAGGTTGTATGCTACATTTGTCCTTCGTATATCAAGTAATAAAAAATATGAAAATGAAAAGGAATTTCTAATAGAAATAAAACTTATATAAGTTGAAAATCATTTTATTAACAAACTACGCGTACTATGTTATAAATATGTAAAACCAGTTAATGTAATTCTCGATACGTCGAATTTTTCAGAAGTTATTGTGACTACATACAAAAACAACATCCAGACGTCCACGCAAATTTTTTTTAAACCGTTTCTTTTTCAAAGTAGCAATATAAAATATTTTTTAGAAAATAGATGGATTAGTTAGTGTTTTCTTGATATACGAATACTGATATTATTGTATAAGTGAAATACAATTATGATAGAGACATCTTAGGATAACAAGATTGATTGAAGTCATGTACAGAGCAACGGTGAGTTCTAATGGGGCACTGGGCAGCTCGACCATGTGCCAGCACACACCACTAAGTCATAGTAAAAAAACAATAGTATCTTATAAGAAATGTACCGATCGCCGCTAATATGTGTGCGTGCCTGGCGCGTAACAGTACGGACTCGTACGCACGAGTCACTCACGCACACAACGACACTTGCTAAGTCGGGAAGATAGAGCCGAGTCGGGGACGCCCACCGCCCACCGAATTTTAATAAAATTTTGCTAGCAGTCTTTTTTCATTTATTTTCTCTTTTTGTAAAACAGATTAAAATATTATGCGTTTGTTTAAGTAAATTAGCTTTTTATTAATAGGTTATTTTACTATACCTATACATAGATACATGCCTCATAAGTACATTAATTATAATATCACATCAGATCAAATTAATTCTAAACATTAAATCTGAGCTGACACCATACGCTCAGTATAAATTTATTCGTAAAATGATTCTTTTAGAGGAAACTAAAGAAATTACTAACAAATATGATGCATAGGTACATATCCGTATGTATTATGTTTGTAAATATTATAACTACTTATAAAACAAAAAGACTGTGACAAACCCTGTAACAGTAGACATTTAAGTCTCGCGCGGAGCGGGAGTTCTATTTTTCTATTTTTACTGTGACTAAGTCTGCTGTACAATACATTCGGTTGTCGCAATTTTTATTTAACGCGATTATTTATTTAACTAATTTTACGTGCCGTTTTCTAAAAATATAACATTTACAATGGTAAATTACTTTTAAAGTTACTTGAGTTACTAAGTAAAGTTTAATTCACATGACGACCATGCTTACGTTTCCCTCAAAATTTTTTGAATATAATTTAAGAATCGAAAACTAAAAACATATATAAAAAGAAAGTGTCACTATAATATTTCGCTGTGCAACATTTGTAAATGTATTTTCCTGTTGTTTTAAAAATGATCTTGTTCAATAAATTATAGGCATATACTAATTTTAATTAATGATAATTAACAGTATAATATCCAAAATCATATTATTCCCAATTTCGTGACAAACCCTAGCATATTTGCAATTAATACCGGCGCGGCGGCGGTAAACGCGGACATCAAAGGCATTTAACAACTGTTAGATTTGCTGTGCAGCATTAAGTTGACAAAATTTTACCGCAATGCGCGGACGGTATGGCAGCTCCTAAAATACGAACTAATAAACAATAATTTTTATATATTAGACTAGCGATCTTCCCCAGCTTCACACGGGTGATATCTAAATTCTACAACAGCGCCACCTGCCAGCCTAGCTATGCCTATAACCTCGTGGAACTGCAAGTTAAATGCTGACAAACTTTGACGCAATCTGTTGAACGGTATAGCAGCGCATAAAATATTTAAAAAAATAATTTTATATTTAATAGATCAGTTTATGTTGTAAGATATTCCATACTCAGAGGTGGTTTAGCTTTCTTTCTTTGAATTTTGTTTGCTAGGGCTGTATTGAATATTTCCTATCAGGTACACCATTAACACGTTTGCCACAAAATTGATATTAAAAATTCATGTACAAGTGTGTCAAAGTTTTGATTCTAGTAAAGGCTCATATTCAGCATTGTTATTTGTTTTATTTTTACGTTACTCCTAAACTAGTTATTTTTCCTGTATTGTTAAGGATTTCCACAAACTAAAATTTTATATGAACAAATATCCAAAGACAAAACATTTATCAACCCAAATGTTGTTCCATGTGGGAATCGATATCTCGGCCCACAATACTCCAACAAAATTCTATGCCGCTGTGTTACTAAGCCGAGTGATAAAAGGTAAAAGAATTCACATAGATGGACTTACCAAATTAAAACATTGTAAAAAGAAGTTAAAATAGTTACCATTTAATCGGTATATAATGCCACGACAAAAATGCACTATAAGCACCAATACAAAAATTATTTTCTGCAT